GTTTGATTATTAATTGGATAATTGATTAGCTGAATTAGTTATAGCTGGTATGGTTTGTAATACAGATCAAAGGGGATGGGGTAGAATGGTAATTTCAGTAGTTTCAGGGGTAATATGGGAAATGAGTCTTAAAAAAATGATTAATTAAATTGCTCCGTCCACTAGGCATTAATAATATTAAAATAATACCTAGTGGGGGACAAGACATATGATGGTGGGAATTAATACATTGTTTAATACATAGTGAGGGGACAAGACATATGGTAGTGGGCAATAATGCATTGTTTAATATAGTGGGGGACAAAGCATGCGGTAGTGGGGAATAAAGGAATTAAATAAAGAAAAGACATGTGGTAGTGGGGAACAAGTGAATTAAAAAGAGGACAAAACATATAGTAGTGGGGAACCAGGCATGCAAGTATGGGGAGAATATTTTCGGATTAATTTAAGTGTTTCAAGGCAGATAAAGTTAATGGAGTTTGGCTATAAATAAGGGGAGCAAAACACAAGAAGANNNTTTTCTGGGCTTCGAAATTTGGTTTGAATCGCTGCTGCTGGGTTGCTGTTGTATTACTGTGTTATTACTGTTGCTGACTGTTCCTTCATCTTCTTGTATTTCCATTATACAGGTACATGTTCTAAAGCTCTCAAATTTAATGGAAAGGAAGTAAAGAGTTGTTCGAACGGATTTCTGAATTTCTCCTGTTTCTTTGTGTTTAATTTAATGTATAAGCAGTAGTTCACTTGATATCACATAGTATGTATTAGAATGACTTTGGAATGCATAAACTTGACTGTTGAATCTATTTCTACAAACATGTGAATACCAATTGTAATTAATCTTAGTTTGTGATTACTAGTTATGAAATATAGTGTAGTTAATTCTTTTTCAGTAGTCGCGAAATAGTTTCAAATAGGTTATGCCTCAAAACATGTTCAAATAGTTAATGAAATCAGCATGTTCGTTTAATAGGGTTAGTTCTGAAATTGCGAGTTCACTTGAGTAAGTAACATCATTTTAAATAGCATTGTGAATAATGTTAGTAACTAATATTCTCAAATGTTAGTGATTGATGTTAGCCTGATGTCAGTTTTTTAAGCATTGACTCATTTCTTCGACAAGTCGTAAAAAGAGTTAGAAAAATGGCTTTGTATTACACATAGTTAATTCCAGTAGTTCAATTCATCTAATAATGTTAGTTTAAATTAATCAAAGAATAGTTAGTTTGTTTTGATATTACTGGGTGTCAATCTCGTGTTCTATTCATAATCTCAACTTTAGTGTTATTAACTAATAGAATAAGGAACGATACAATCTCCCTTGAGTAAGCTCTGTTGCAATTTTCCGTTTGCATTTGTCTTAATCTAATAAATAATAAGAGGTACGAGCTTATAAACATGTAACTAATTAGGACCTCTTCTCTTTTATTTTAGAGAC